ATGCAGTTATGTATATACATATATGGAGAAAGAAAATGATGCTAAAATTAATGTGTATAATATTTGCAGAACTTGGGTTAAAGACTACAGAAATTTCATGTAACAGTTGAAATTATTTTAAACCTGAAGTTATTTTGAAATAAAAATTACATGTATGAATGTATGTGTACATACCTCTGAGAAGAAAAAGGTTTTGCAAACTCATCATTCAGTTGCACACCCTGGGAAATCAGTTTTGAAGATTTTGTTTGCCATCTGTGATGGCTATTCTTGTTTGTCAGCTTGAGACACATGGGAAGAGAGAACCTCCGCTGAGGTATTGCCTTCACCAGATTTGCCTGCAGGCATGTCTGTGGGGCATTTTCTTGACTGCTAATTGATGTGGGAGGGCTCATCCCTCTGTGGGAGGTGCCACTCCTGGACCTGTGGTCCTGGGTTGTATAAGGAAGCAGGCTGAGCAGAATCAGTAACAAACTATTAAGCAACTTTCTTCCATGGCTCCTGCCTCTGCTCCTGCTGGAGTTCCTACCCACACCTCCATCAGGGATGGATTGTGACCTGGATATATAAGCCAAATAAATCTTTTCTACCCCAAGTTGCTTTTGGTCAGGGTTTTATCACAGCCACAGAGATGTAAACTAGAATGTCATCTTCAGTTGAAAGAGCTTATGTCGAGGCCACTGATTGTTAAAATAAAAGATCCCAGAAACCCAGCCATAAGCACTTTCTGACGGTCATGTCCTGGCCTGCTGATGGATGCCCTCCCTGAGCCATGCACACACCCCTACAGACTCCCCGTGGCTTGTTAAAGAAGGACTCTTGTGGCCTGCTCTACAGAGCATGGAAGGCTAGAGTGGAATGCGAGTCCATACCACTCTTACATAGAGAAGGACATTGAGACCCTGAGAGTTAGACATCCTAAAACTGTGGTTTCTTAGCAGCAAGGATGAGATTCAACTCAAAATAGTTTATTTCCACCAATCCTTCCACACAAGGCTCAAGGTCATTGAGTGCCAGGGCCAGGACCCATGGCTTCCGGTCTTTTATCTTATGGGCCTTTCCACTGTATCCTGGTGTATTTGTTTATTAATTAGTTTTTAGGAAAGATACACCAGAACTTCACTTGAAATTCTTCCAAACAGTCCACAAGGAAAGCTCTTTAAATAGCAAATTCCACATAGGGTTTTGAAAGGTAATTTTGTTTTTCTTAAAAAAAAAAAAAAAAAAAAAAGTTCAACTTACATACAAATCTTAAAATAAAATGTT